AACACGAATTAAGACAGAAAGCTAAAATTTTGTAGAGATCCCTCTTTTGCCTGCAGGCAGGTCAAGTTCGAAGATGTGCTATATCGGTCCACGATATCATATAGCCCCATATAAAGTTACCCCCCGATATCCGGTATTTTGATGATTTTAGACACATTTTCCAATGGAATAGTCTGAAAATCCACACGAGGAGTTTTTTGTGAGCATTTTACTCCCTGAAAGAGAATTGTCTATATAGGTCCACATCTTCGTATAGCCCCCATATAACGGTACCCCCGATTTTCGGTATTTTGATGATTTTAGCAACATTTTTCACCGGAATAGTTTCAAATTTTGTGCCACTTTCTGTGCCACCATTTAAAATTATATGTGCCACTTTTTTCAAGAAATTATACTTTTTGTGACACTTTTTGAAAATTTCCAGCGGTCACACTGCCCACACCACATGGTGGTAAGGGTATTATGTCTTTGTGCATTTGTTTGTAACATGGAGAAGGAAGTGAGAAATTCCCATAGTCACTTTTGATGATCCTAATAGAATCACTTTCTCAGTCGATTTATGCATGTCAGTCCGTCTGTCCATGTATTCTTGTGAACAAAATTCAGGTCGCATTTATTATCCGATTTAGATGAAATTTTACAAACAATATTTGTTTGGTCCAAGAACGATATTGAAATTGGTGAGAATCGGTTCAAATATATATATATATCTTCAATCGATTTCGGGTTAATTGTGCACTAAATGACCAATATCAGTCCAAATGACCTGAATTTTGGCATATCCAACCGAATGCAGTCTAGAAGCAAGTGCTTCAAATTTGGAGGAAATCGGATATAGCTATAGCTTTCATATATATGTTTCATTCGATTTGGTGTTTAAGTCCCTCACATTCGTAATATGCACTCTATAAGAATGATATTTGGTACCAGATATCAGATACATATATAGCTCCCATACCTATCTTCAACCGATTTCGGGTTAATTGTGCACTGAATGGCCAATATAAGTCCAAATAATCCTAATTTTGGTATATCCGATCTCATTCAGTCAAGAAGCCAGTACATCAAATTTGATGAAAATCGGTTCAGATACAGCTTTAGCTCCCATATATACAGGGTGAGATAAAAAAAACTGCAACAAACTCAATCGCCACAACTTTAACATTTTTTTTTTAATTTTATTGAATGAAAACAAAAAATGTCGGAAATAGCATCAAATTTTAGAATAAGTTTAGATTTGTTCGAATTGGTCACCTTTAGCACGAGTTATGGCCTTCAAACCACCAATGAAACCGACACACGCTGCCCGAATATTGCTCTGCGGTATTTTGGCCCATTTTCGGCGAAGCGCTTGCTTAAGCTGATCGACACTTTTGTATATTTTAAGCCCCAACCTTGCTTTCCAAAATACTCCAGACACAAGAGTCCAACCAATTGGTATCCGGAGATTTTCGTGGCCATTATGCGCTGGAAATGAAGAGAGGAACCTCATTTTGTAAACATTCTTGGGTGGCGCGTGCTGAGTCCTGTTGGAATGTCCAAGGTTTGCGGCCAAAGGCCTCCCTCCACAATATTTTCGCGATAATATTCGGCATTTATTCTGGTGCCACGGTCGATTAATATGAGCGGAGATACCATCGGCTGCTATGACGGCAAAACGAATGTTTTCTCATCGGAGAAAACTAAATTCGGCAGTTCACCACTTTCGGCCAAGCAAAGTAAATCTTTAGCTCTTTTAGCCTATTTTCTTTCTGTTGCGTTGTAAGTTCTTGCACTTTTTGGAACTTCAATGGCTTAACCCCGAGCCTAACTTTCAATATTTGCGAATGGAATATTGCAATATGGTCAGGCCACGAGCCATTTTTCGGCAACTACGACGCGGGTTTCGATCAAGTCGCTTCTTTAATTTTCGAACCAATTCTGCTGCTGTTGCTGTTTTCTTCCGTTCACTTCCTTGACGTCGGGCTACGCTACCATTATCACGGTAACGAGCGATGGTACGAGACAAAAAAGATTTATTCACATTTAAATGCTGGAGTGCTCTAACGATAACCACTTGTGGCTTTCCAGCCAAATATAAAGAAATCACACTATCACGCTTGAATTCCATCACGAATAACTTTTTTTCTTCAAAATTTTCACCAAAATGCTTTTGTACGCTTGTAAACCATGTAATGAGCTGTCACTGGAATAACTTTAAGAGCTGTCGGAAGAGTGGCTTGGAAATGACAGCAGTCTGAAGTTGGTTGCAGTTTTTTCATCTCACCCTGTATATTTGATGTTTTAAGTCCCTCACATTCGTAATATGGCTAATAAAAAATGGCTAATATCAGTCCAAATGGAGTGAATTTCGGGACGCGAATTTGGTGGAATTCGGCTCCGATATATATTTATACCCTACAACACTATGTGTTGGCGGTGTTATAAGATTGATTGGGCCAGAATTTATGTAACACCTCGAAATATTGGTTTCCCATATAGGAAAGTATATGTGGATCTTCCTAGCACGCCGAGCTGAGTCGATCTAGCTATGTATGTCCGTCCGTCCGTCTGTCCATGTTAATTTGTAATCACTCTACAGGTCGCAATTATGGCTCGATCTTCACGAAATTGAAAATGGAGGTGGGGTTAAGGTCAGAATAGAAGCCTATTTCTTTTGGAGATGATCGCCAAATGGACCAAATACTGAAAAAATGTCGGATTTTGCAGTAGCTATACAGGTCGCAAATTTAGACCAATCGCGGAATTTCGCATGTAGCTAGAGTTTAGGGCGGGGAAGAAGCCTACCAATTTGGGTGGTCATCGGATAATATTTAGCGGGTAAAATAGACCATATCTTTTGTGTTGAAAAAATTCAAAATTTTTCATTAAACCGCGAATATTTTAAATCCCGGCGAAATCACAAAGCCATGACAAGGTTACTTCTGATCTTTACATTGATGTTAACATCCATCAAATCGCAAAATATGTGCGATATATATGTCTATCAAAGAAGATATGCTTGAAAGATCTCTTATATGTCGAGAACGGCTGAACTAATTTCGACAGTTCTCATTAATTCAGAATGGCCTCTTGGCAGGAAAGAAAAAACGTCTAAAAAATCGCATAAAAATATCTCTCTAAAGATGAAAATATTGATTTTGTAAAATTTTCTCATATTTTTTCAATTTTGTCATAATTTTGGCATATTTTCATTTTGAATTAAAAATTTGGTAATATTTCTACAGCTAACAAAACTAAGTAGTTAGGATATCAGGATATCATATACAGATCGCATTTATGGCCCGATCCTTACGAAATTTTGCATGGAGATAAGATGAGGGTCAGAATAGAGGCCTACTCTTTTTGGAGATGATCGCCATATATTTAGGGGTTGAAATGGACCAAAAAACTGCAAAATTGTCAGCAGGTCGTAATTATCGCCCGATCCTCACGCACATTTGAATGGGGGTTAACGGACATTACAAAAGTCAAGCAGTTTTGGATGGCCATCCAAAAATATTCAATGTGTGAAATAGTTTGCCAACTTTTGTAGACAAAATACGAAAATGTCCATTTCAGTGACTTTTTGGAGAATTCACAAATACAGGAAAGACGCACTTCTGACTATTTCGTTAACGCTGATTTCGTTGAAGAATATAGTCAAATGTCTGTATCTCATATAGATGCGTTTCAGTCAAAAACCAATAATAAATGTTAATCTTTTGCCACTTCTGAAAGATTATAGGTCTTTGGGAAATATTGGTTCCAGATCTAGGAAGACCATTTACGTGCAACATCTACCAATAAATTGGAAATGAGCAAATTAGTTTAAGATGCTATTATTCGAAAATTAGAGAAGGAAACCTGATGGTTTTCTTTTATTATTTGTCACAATATCTTGTGGAATTCTTTCGAGTATCTCGCCTATATAAACTGTATCGTTTATTATAGTGTTGTAGGGTATTCAACGGTCGGCCCCGCTCGACTGTAGCCTTTGCTTACTTGTTTTAATATAATCCCTCTCGAAGTGATATCATGCACTCTTTAGCAATGTTATTTGATAAAAAAGATAAAAAATGTCTCCATCAAATTCAGTGAAAACCAAATTGTAACCGTTCTAAAGCCAAAAGTAGATAGGTTGTATACTCTACTTCAAATATATTATTTTATTACGGGAGCTCTACTAAATACGCATAGTGGTGTAGAGTATCATATAGTCGGCCTCGCCCAACTTTTGACCTTTCCTTACTGGTTTATTTTGCCTTACAGAGTGAGAATCAACATTCTGCTTTATGGGGTTTTACTTATACTTATATATAATATAAATTAACTTATAACTTCAAGCATTTTCGGTAAATGAACATCTCAGATTAACTGATGTATTGTAGTCTAAAATATAGAAGAGATAATTAGAAGAATGGATGATCCAGCATTTCATGTTGATGGGTATGGAAATGAACTTATATTTCTATTTCTCTTAGTACATTTCCTTCAATAATATTTGAGTAGAAATATTGTCTTTGGCTCTCGAAATCTTAGCCAATAGCAGCGATAGTTTTGTAAACATCGAAGAAACTCTCCCATTACAGGAAAAACCATTATCAGAAAAATTCTTACTTTGAGATAAAAACTGTGGTGGTTGATAAATAATTACCATGGGTTGGGGTTATCATAAAATGGTGGAGGGAGGTAAAGTGCTTGTAAGACGGTAAACACAACCATTGAAGCATTAAAAAGAATAGCCGCCCTAGGCTTGGTTCGCCGCTACCATTTTGGTAAATTAGTTTGGTAGCCCAAACATAATACACATTTCCAATTACTAAGCAACCAAAGTCGAGAACGACAAACGCAAGTAGATTGTAAGAAACTTCCGAAACGAATCTAATCGAAATTTAATAGCATTTGGGACGGACGGACAGACGGTAACTGATTTAGTTTTCAACGCAATGCACTACTTTTTTTGGTAAGAATTTGAGTAAAACTTTTAGCTAATTTTTACGTTTTTCTTTTCTTTTTAGCTCAAAAACATGCACACCTTGCGAGATTTGGCCAAAAGTTTGGAGGCTAGTCAAGATGTCGGCGAGAAGTCAAGTATGTGCCTGAGATGGAATGATTTGCCCAACGAATTATTGATACACATCTTCCAGTATTTGCCACATGGCGATTTACAGCAGGTACGTCTGGTGTGCCGTCGCTGGCATGACCTGGCCCAGCTGCCGGAATTCAAGGAGAAAAACAAAATTGTGGTGAATAATGAAAATAAGTTTCTGCTGTTGGAAAGTTTAAATGTCGACTCGGATTTGGCCCAACGTTTAAGCTTTGATACCTTGGAGCTGCATGGTCTCGAGTTGGCTGATGATGTCCAATTGCTGTTGAAGTATTTGGGGAAAAAAGTTCGAAAACTACGTTTATACAAATCTCCGGTATTTGCCTCGCTAAACGACAACCTACCCGCCTTGGAAGAGCTGATTGTCACTCACATACCCACGGTGCAGAGTGACAACACATTTTCATTAAATCTCAGTAATTTCCCCAAATTTAAAGCCTTAGATATTGCCTGTAGCAATGTTACGACCTATGTCAAGACCCACATGATTTTAAATTTAACTCGAGAAGTGTCGGTAAAAATGGGAAAGCTCTGCATCGAAGTCAATCGAGATCATGAGGATTTGCTGATTTATACTCTGCAATGTCATGCCCAGACTTTGAGGCACTTGGAAATTATTCTACGTTCCACACCCATTATGATTGTGAAATGGAAACAGGTCTTTGCAGCCTTGGAGAATTTGGAGACTTTGAAAATAACCGGGGTCTCCTGTTATATGTGGCTCAAACATGTTTTCGAGTGTCTGCCCAAGGAGGCGCCATTGAGGCATTTGGATTTAAGTGGTGGCCTCCAGGTGGATGATCCTTTGCTGAAATTGATTGTCAATAAATGGCCTCAAAGTTTGGAGACCATGGAACTGATGTTTTGTAGCTGTCTCACTGATGAAGGTGTGAAAAGTTTGGGTAGCCTAAGAGGAAGCCTAAAAACTCTCAATATTTCCCATTGTTCCAAGATATCTAGTCAGGGTCTATTGCAGGGCTTGGTCCAAGAAACCAATCCCATATTGACCACCTTGGTTCTCAATGATATCACAGACACGGCAACGGATAACATGTGTCTGGTCATGCAACGTTTGCCGAATTTATGCTACCTCAGTTTGGAGAGTTGTCGGGATGCTGTCACCGATGTCACACTTGAGAATATATTCCGGCACCAAACAAAATTACAACATTTATTTTTGGATGATTGCATGCGGATCAGTGATGAAGGGTTATTGGGCTTTGGCTCCCATCCAGCACCAATACATCGGCTTAAAGGCCTACAAACGCTATCGCTAAGAGGATGTCGGAATCTCTCCAATCGTGCCTTGGCCAAGGGTTTGAAATTTCCCGAACTACGAAAATTGGTATTGGGCTATTGTCACAAAATCTCTTCCATGGGCATTGAAGAGCTGGTGGAAAATTGCCCTTCCCTAGAGGATTTGACCATATCCAGTTGCCTGATGATAGACGATGATGCCATGCTGCACATAGCTCAAGGCCTACCACGATTGCGGCGCTTGAATGTTAGTAATTGTATAAATTTGACCGGGAAGTCCATCGATTATGTTGTGGAATTGTGTCGGTCGTTGAAAGAACTTTCCATGTGTGGCATTGACTCTTTGGAAATTCAAGAGGTCCAGGATAAATTTCTTCAAATGAAACCACAAATTTGTGAAGTTAATTTATAATATGGAGGGAAAATGCGATTGTATCTGTAAGTTGTGTTGGGAAATGGTGTAAGTTATTTCGACACTTTATGAGGCAGATAAAAAATATATTTTTTGAAATATACAGGGTGCGATAAAAAAACTGCAAGTCAAACTCCAATTTTTTTTTAAATGTTATTGAATAGATGCAAAACATGTCGGAAATAGCATCAAATTTTAGAATAAGTTTAGATTTGTTCGAATTGGTCACCTTTGGCACGAATTGTGGCCTTGAAACCGTCACCGGCAAATAAAACCATCACACGCTGCCCGAATGTTGCTCTGCGGTATTTTGGCCCAATTCCGGCGAAGCGGTTGCTTGATGTGATCGACACTTTGGTATTTTTTAGTGCCAACCTTGCTTTCCAAAATACTACAGACACAATAGTCCAACGAATTGGTTTCCGGAGATTTTGGTGGTCATTGTGCGCTGGAAATGAAGCTAGGAACCAATTTTGTAAATATTTTTGGGTGGCGCGTGCTGAGTGTGATGGTGCTGAGTCTTGTTGGAATGTCCAAGGTCTGCGGCTTTAATACACCCTCCAGAATACTTTCGCGATAATACGAGCGGAGAGCGACCATCGGCTGTTATGGCGGCCCACACCATCACCATGGCCGGCGCTTGAGTTCTGGTGGCCAACGGAAGTTGCACATTTTCAGCTGACCTCTTTGGCAAGTAAACCCGATCATTTTGTTGGTGCACAAACTGCTGGACAACGAATGTTTTCTCATCGGAGAAAACCAAATTCGGCAGTTCACCACGTTCGGCTTTGTGGTGTAAGTTCTTGCACTTCTTGGAAATTTTTCAATATTTACTGAATGGAATATTGCGATATATTCAGCTCACGAGCCATTTTTCGCCACTGCGACGCGGGTTTCGATCAAGTCGCTTCTTTACTTTTGGAACCATTTCTGCTGATGTTGCTGTTTTCTTCCGTCCACTTCCTTGGCGTCGGGCTACGCTACCAGTATCACGGTAACGAGTGATGGTACGAGACACAAAAGAGTTATTCACATTTAAATGCTGGAGTGCTCTAACGATAGCCACTTGTGGTTTTCCAGTCAATGAATTCCATCACGAATAACTTTTTTTCTGGAAATTCGCACCACAATGCTTTTGTACGCTTGTAAACAATATAATGAGCTGTCACAGGAATAATTTTAACAGCTGTCGGACGAGTGGCTTAGAAATGACAGCAGTCTGAAGTTTGTTGGCAGTTTTTTCATTTCAACGTGTATACAGTTTCAAAGGGAGAGACATGGGAAATTGGCTCTGGGGAAATTATAGCGTCATCCTCCAAAATCAGCATTTATCTGTTACAATTTTTCGGGTACTGAAACCGTTTCCTAGAAAACTCGTAAGAATATTGTTTCCTGTAGTTTCTGGTATGGTTCTAACTTTTTGAACTTCAAGGGGTTCCTTCCTTTAAAAAAAATTATTAAAAATTGCTACACTACTTCGATTGTTTGTCTCAGAATGTAAAACAAATTGCCAGGTTTTTTTTCAGAAATCAATTTTATATTTGATATCTCATCTTAAGAGTGTCGATCCAATACTACTTATAATACCTGAAGAAAACATTTTAGACACTGACACAACAATCACAAGGGACCAAAAACAACTGTGTTTTATTTTAAAAATATTTTTTTAAATTTAGTTTCCCTTATAAGTGTATATTTTTTGTATAGAATACTGTAAATATGTTGACAACTTTTCCTTAATTCTTTATCCAAAATGGATAAACAATAATAAATGATTTAATAATTTAACTCTACTACTTTGTGATTCAATAACAGTTTGTTAGTTTTAAACATATAAAGCAATTAATATTGATTTAGTTTAAGTTTAATTAATATATAATTTTTTTCTGTTATAGTTGTGCAATATTTTGTTTTATTTCAGTTTCATTTAATTTTATAAAATAATAAAAATAATTATAGTTATTATAATAATAAGAATATTAATAATAATAATAATAATAATAATAATAATAATAATAATAATAATAATAATAATAATAATAATAATAATAATAATAATAATAATAATAATAATAATAATAATAACAACAATTACAATAATAATAATAATAATAAAAATAATAATAATAATAATAATAATAATAATAATAATAATAATAATAATAATAATAATAATAATAATAATAATAATAATAATAATAATAATAATAATAATAATTATAATTATAATTATAATAATAATAATGATAATAATATATTTACCTACTTATATAACTGTAATATAGGATAAATGTTAAAAGAGTAAAATTTTTAAAACATATTTTACAGGAATTTTAAACTACTTTCAATAAAACATAACTTGTTATGATAACAAAAATAATAATTAAAAAATGTGTCTTTTTATTTTTCCAACAAGAAAAAACAAAAAGAACGGCCCTTTTAAGTCATCATCGACACCAAATATGCCTGTTGAATCGCTGAATCGAAGGCGAAACGCGCACATATTGAGCCGCTCAATCAAAGGCGAGATGTGTGTATGTGATAGTGCCTCTCTGGCTTTCTTTTTCATTACAAGTTCGACATCATTGATCTTATTTCGAAAGAGTAACAAATAAAATCATAAGCATATGTGCTTCGCTGTAATAAGGCAAAACTAAATAATTAGGAAAACTTGACGTTGAGTTCTTTATTCTTAGCATTACCAGGCCAAAGCGCGACTCATCGGTAACGGTTGTAGACCCTAGGCCTATTTAGACCAAATCTGTTTCAGAACATTTGGTGTCGATCTAGCGATGTCCGTCCGTCTGTCTGTCTGGCTGATGCGCACGATAACTCTCGGAGGGGTATCCCATTTGATGCAAACTTGGTATATCGTAATATTATTGTCAAACTTCTCAAGGTTTGGTGGGAAAAAGGAATACATCGGTCCCCTACTTCTGGTACCTCCCCCACAAATGGTCAAAATTTTGAATATTCATGAAACACGAAATTAACATTCGATTCCATTCAGACTTGGCACATACCAATATTTCCAGCAACACGAGATCTTGAATAACCAACACGATCATAAAATCCGAAATAAGCATCCGGTTCTCTTCAAATTTCGCACATGATAATATTTTTATTATTGGTGTTAAGATGAGATATATCGGTCCACTCCTTCTGGTACCTCCCCCACAAAGGGTTAAAATTTTGACCATCCATGGAGCTCATAAAACGCGAAAATAACATCCAATTCCATTCAGACTTGGTACAAGTCCAATTCAAGGTCTGTTATGAAGATGGTACAGATCGCTCCAGTTTTTCTGGTACCTCGCCCACATAGGGTTCAAGATTTTGAAAAACAAAACGCTTAAAGAAAGCAAATTAAGCATCCAAATCCATCTCCTCAAATTTTTCAACAAACAAATATTTTTTCTAACACAAGATCCGTTGTGAAGATGATATACATCTGCCAACCACTTCTGGTACCACATCCACAAACAGTCACAATATCTTTCCAATACTTATATCTGTCATAACTTGCGAAACAAGTCGGCGATTCTTTACAACTTGTTATATCTAAATATTTCACTTAACCAGAAGTCTTGTATGAATATGTAATTTATCGGAATTTATGATTTAGCATAAAATTGCACATACCAAAATTTTTATCTGTGTTATATGAAGTATGAAATTGGAATGCTTGGGTCCGCTATATCTGTCACCTTACGCATGTTTCCATATTTTCCAAAAATTTTCACATATCTTATATAAAGTACAGGAAGCAATCGATATAGTCCAAATCTGTCTCGTTGTAATATTTTTATCAGTCTTAGGTCAGCAACAAATTGAACAATATTGGCCAACTGCTTCGGAACCCTCATTAAGAGTCAACAGTTTGTATAATCATAAGTCAAGGCTGGGGATACACGGTACCTCCCGATATTCGCCACACAGATTTGTCTAAAAATTGGTATTTGTAGTTCATAGGTAGAACATAAAATATTTAAGTCCACGTTTTCCTATAGTGCACATATAACGATACCTACCGATATTCGGTATTTTGATAATCCTAGGTGGATGACAATCTTTGAAGTAAAAAATTGCCCGTGGTATGGCCCCCGTACAACGGCCTCACCCACTTTATGTCGCATTTATTATCCGATTGAGATGAAATTTTGTAAACAATATTTGTTTGGCCCAAGGACAAACCCTATTGAAATTGGTGATAATCGGATAAGATTTAGATATAGATCCCATATATCTTCAACCGATTTCGGGTTAATAGCTAATATAAGTCCAAATGACCTGTATTTTGGTACATCCCACCGAATTAAGTCTAGAAGCAAGTACATTAAATTTGGTGAAAATTCGTTCAGATATAGCTATAGCTCCCATATATATGTTTCATCCGATTTGGGGTTTTAAGTTCCTCACATGCGTAATATGCACTCCAGAAAAATGATATTTGGTACCGGGTACTGCTAGAAAATACCTCTGTCAAATTTTACCGAGATCGGTTTAGATTAGGATTGAGCTCCAATATATATCTTATTCGGATATCAGGTTTATTGTGCACTAAATGGACTGAATTTTGGCAATTACGACTGAATTCATCCAGCACTTCAAATTTGGTGTAAATCGGTTCAGATATAGCTATAGCTCTCATATATATGTTTTATCCGATTTGGGATTTAGAGTCCCTCACAAGCGTAATATGCATTCCAAAAAATGATCTTTGGTACCAGATATCCGATACAGCCTTGAAATAAGTGTATCAAATTTTGTAAAGATTGATTCAGATTTAGATATAGCTTCCATATATATCCTCAAACGATTTCGGGTTAATTATGCACCAAATAGCCAATATCAGACCAAATGGACTGAATTTCGGCATATCCGACCGAATTCAGTCTAGAAGCAAATAAATCAAATTTGGAGAAAATCGGTTCAAATATAGCTATAGCTCCCATATATATGTTTCATCCTATTTGGTGTTTAAATCCCTTACATTCGTAATATGCATTCGACAACAATGATATTTGTTACCAGATATCTTATAAAGCTCGGACATACCTTTGCCAAATTTTATCGAGAACGGCTAAGATTTGGATATAGCTCCCATATATATCCTTAATCCGATTTCAGGTTTATTGTGAAAATTATGGCAAATATCATGAAATAAATTATTTTGTTACGGAAGATCTACTAAATATGCATAGTGGTGTAGGGTATTATATAGTCAGCCCCACCGGGCTTTTGACTTTTCCTTACTGGTTTTTTACTTGTTTTATGATTATACAGTCCAATAGCCAGCCTAAGTTGTGAAAAATTCTAATTGGATGTAAAAATATTTGGTTTGAAGGTCAAAAGCCCAAAAGGGTTTCCGGTTTTTAGGCTGGACTTATCCATATTCAAAGGAACTCCAATATTCAAGAGTCATTGTGTTCATTATTTGGTATAGCACCAAATTTAGGGGCAACGAATTCAAGTATACTTTTAATTCGAAACATGAAGAAAATAAAAAATATAACAAGTTAAAACGCAGTAAGTTCGGCCGGGCCGAACTTTGAATACCCTCCACCATTTGAAACGAATTAGGAAATAAAATCCTGAAAAAAATTTGGTAAAATTTAAAAAATACGGAATATTGCCGTTATATTGGTGCCGACGTGGACCCACACAGGCATTATTTGTCATGTGTCATTACCAAATTCAAATTCGGAACTTGAAATAAACGCGAATAATGTAGCTAATGTGGCTAATGTAGGTTCACGTTTTCATATAGCCTTATATAAATTGAGTTTTCTGTAATTATTTTTTGTTATAGTGTTATTTTGTGGATTTACACCACAGAATGCCCCAGATTATTTCTTTGTGGAGGGTAAAAAAGCTCACAGATTAGAAGTGTTGGCCTCTGGTGTTAACAACTGACACTAACCGATACATAGGCGAACATTTTCGACCATTTACAAACAAGCTCTTTATGTAATGTAATATTTCTGTAAAAAGCTTCCACCTAAGCTTTCTGTAAACCCCAACAGGTGAGCTTTCATACATTTTCCCACCAACAATACAAACTTGTATCCGATTGAAAACTATTTTCACCCTTTTGTTTTCATTTCAACGCCAACAACAACAGTGGAAGCATAACAAAATGCATTTTCAATGATTTTTGGGGAAAAAACAAATCCGTTAACGGAAAATGGGGACAAGTGAATAGAAACGACGTGACCGGTAGAGCGGGAAATTTGGAAGAAAAGTAAATATATCGAAAAAAAAACAGGCGCGTTCATGCAAACTCCCACATACACACACGCACTTATCGACACACATATCCGAAAAAAGCTAAAAGGAAAAACACAATGAAATTAGCAAAACAATTACGGTTTTTTTTTTGGAAAAACGAAACGAAAATTAAGTGAAAATCAACACAAAAAGTGTATTTTAAGCGGAAAATTCGTATCATTGGCCAGATAAAATTGAACTTCGGTCGAAGGAGGACCTTCTTACGGGTGTGGAAAAATAAACTGAACTGAAATTATTGATACGGATAAAATAACGGAATAAAAAAACAACAAGTGGAAATTTATATGTTTATCTAAGTGGAAAAGTAAATAAATAAAAAAATGTATGTGATCATAAGGCATGCTAAAAAATAAATGGTTTTTATAAAGTGGATATTTAAAAAAAAAAATAAATTAAAGAAAACAAAAAATAAAAAATAAAAATAATTATTATTTACAAAATAAAAGGAAAAAATCCAGTGTTTTATGAAAACAAAAACTTGTTCGCATATTTTGCGTGCTGTCGTTGCAGTTGACCCCTTTGCTTTGTTGACAAATCGCCATACTTGTGCCATCAACGACAACAACAATAAACCACAACAAATGATTTTGCGTGCAGTTAGCCAAGTTTAAACAATTACTTACATATTAAATTGCCTTTAAGACCTACCCCATGCCATTGTTGCCCATCTGGAGGGAAACGAGCAATTTATCGAGATTAACTGCAGTTGTGAGTGTATTTGTGTGTGTGCGCGCGCTTAAATAACAGGTGAAGAGAGTGCAAGATCGTTTACATGCCTAGTATTATTAAATTTAAAAATTTAATGCAACACCAAAAACTCATATCAGGTTTTTGTTGAGATTAAGAAAAATGCAAATAAAAAATAATCCGTAATTAAATTGAAAAGAATAATAAATAAAATATGACCTAGGGCTCCAATAAATCACACAGAGTGAAAAAAAATTCCACTTGAAATAAATTTTTAGTTTTGTTTCAAAAAATAAAACAAGAAAAATGATAAACAAATAACACCCGATTTAAAACTTATGAACGCGCGCCACAGGAAAATACAAAAAGGCTGAAGTTTGGGAAAAATTTAAAAAGTGGTATCAAAATCCTAGAGCCAAAAAATGGCGAAATGCAGTCATGTTCATTATCTAAAAACTTAACATTTGGTCAAATCGGTTGTTCCCCAAAGCCCTACGAATTGAGAATAACGTGATATGGTCAATGTGCTAATGCCTTTTAATACTGAATATTTTCCACCTGTTTGGAACCCAAATTAATACATTGTTCCCCATTTACTTGAAACATGTAACTTGGACCATCCAAAATCAATAGTTGGAGGATACTGTTATATAGGGGTCATTCTAAACCCCGTATCTATATTTAACAATTGCAGTCACTAGGGTAAAAGTTGGAAAAATAAAATAATTCATAACTTGGAATCGAGACTGAAACCTTCGAAATACTGAGTATCAGTAGGTACTGCATGGTAAATTGAATAAGAAACTAATAAAAAAGCAGCTAAGTTCGGCCATTCCACCATTTGCAAAGAACTTGAAAAATTTAAAAAATAAATCCGAAAACTGCCAATTAAATGAAAACCGTTATATGGGGACTATACGAAATTTTTGTCATAGGCTGTAGTACCCGTTACGATCTTCAAGTATGAAATTCGAAACGATTCCGGTAAATAATGCCGCTAAAATCATGAAAATAACGAATATCGGGAGGTACCGTTATATGGGAGCTATACGAAGACATGACCCTGTATACGGTTTTTTTCATAGGTTGTAGTACCCATTAAAAACTTCCAATACGAAATTTGACACTATTTCGGTGAATATGAAATTCCAATACGAAATTTCAAACGATTCCGGTATATAATGTTGCTGAAATCATCAAAATACCGAATATAGGGAGCTACCGTTATATGGGTACTATACGAAGAAGTGAACCTGCATACAAACATTGTTGTCATAGGCTGTAGTACCCATTACGTACTTTAAATATGAAGATTGAAAAATTCCGGTAAATAATGTCGCTAAAATCACTAAAATAACGAATATCGGGAGGTACAGTTATACGGGGCTATACGGAAACAGGAACCGATTTGGCCCATTTACGAACTTAACCTGCCTACTGGTAAACTATGCATGTATTTTAGACTTCTATCTCAATTCGTTCGAAAGATATCGTGATTACAACACACAGACGGACATCGCTAAATCGACTTAGAATTTTACGCTGATCCAGAATAAATATTTCGAGGAGTTACAAGCGGAATGAAAAAGTTAATATAATAATATACCCTGTATAGAATGGTGGAGGTCATAAAATGGTTAAGTTCATCCTGGCCTACTTTAAGTAGCCTCCACCATTCGAAAGGAACTTGAAAAACTGGTACTGGACAAATCCGTTGAAAGTAATACCTCTAAAATTATCAAAATACCGAATAACGGGCGGTACAGTTGTGTGGGAGACAAGCGAGTCCAAATTTTGAGATAATTCTGTGGAAAAAAAAATTGTGGCGAAAATGGAAAAAATACCGAATATTGGAAGGTATCATTGTATGAGTCCTGTTGGTCTGTGGCCAAAATGTTTGCGTGCCCATGGCTTTGATACACTCTTCAGAATATTTTCGCGATAATATTCGACATTTATTTTGATGCCACGGTCGATTAATACGAGCGAAGAGCGACCATAGGCTGTTAAGGCGGCCTAAACCATCACCATGACCAGGGCTTGAGTTCTGGTGGGCAACCGAAGGTGCACGTTTTCAGCTGACCTCTTCGATATGAAAACACGATCATCTTGTTTGTTTACAAACTTCTGGACAACGAATGTTGTCGGACGAGTGGCTTAGAAATTACAGCAATCTGAAATTGGTTGCAGTTTTTTCATCTCACCCTGTATAGGGTCGTTATCATTATATCATTATATTGGGTTATACGAAGCCGTGAACCTGTAAAGGCAACTTTCGCATTTCGAACTCATAATTCTAAAATGTAAATAATTCCGTTGAAAATTGTGGGTAAAATCATAAAAATAACAAATATCAGGATATATGGAGCTATATGATGATGTGAATCTGTACAGGTAATTTTCTGTCATTGAAATTGAAATTAACGAATAACGGGATGGACAGTTGTATGGAGGTTATACGAAAACCTGGACCTGTTTGAGAAATTTTCTGTCATATCAAGTGGTACCCATAACGAACTTCAAGCACGAAATCTGAGAAAATTCAGTAAAAAAATGTGGTTAAATCCTAAATCGACTGTCGAAATGTTTCAAACTTCGAAAACGTCATACTTTTGTGTAAAATGTATGAATAATAATAATCAACTTCTAGAATATTGTAATTTCCCACAAAATGCATCTCAAGTTGGTTGATAATAGTTTAGGTCGTATTCTTGAAACTTTGCTGATCTTGATAATGATGATGGATAAATTTGTCAAACGTTAGTCCGGATTTTTCTTTTATAAAAAAATGTCGGATTCAGAAAAAAAGGATTTTATAGATCAAGAATTGAACACCTGTGTTTTATTTCTGCAAAATAGCCAAGCTTGAGACAATTGTTCTTTTTTTTTAAAAAAAAAAACTGCATTTATTTTATCCAAAAAAACAAATATGAGTTTTTGGTGTTTTGGTCAAACGTCGCTCAAAATGGAATTCCCATAATTCTATTCAAATTTTCACACAGGAACATTCACATAAACAGCGTTATAAAATAAAAAAATCACTTCCTAAAAACAAAATGATGGACCCTTTATCAGAAACCACAAATGATGATAACGGCATAACTACAACTTCCGCAACAGTGCTCTATGGAATCATGAATACCACGGCAATGCTAACACCAAACCAAACCAGTGATCCAGATCTTTTCGACGACATCTTCTATCAACAACACACATCAATGGAATACGATTTGATAGCCGAATTTGGTCCGAAACGTGATCCGCTGCAGGTCGTCATACCTCTGACAATAATCTATGGCTTGATTTTTGTGACAGGTGTCATTGGTAACATTAGCACCTGTATTGTTATCAAAAAGAATCGCTCCATGCACACGGCAACCAATTATTATCTCTTCAGTTTGGCTATTTCGGATTTTTTGCTGCTCATCTCTGGAGTGCCACAGGAGATTTATTTAACTTGGTCAAAATATCCCTATGTTTTTGGGGAGTACTTTTGTGTGGGTCGTGGTATTTTGGCTGAGACATCAGCTAATGCTACGGTGTTGACAATCACAGCATTCACCGTGGAACGTTATGTGGCCATTTGCCATCCCTTCCTAAGTCAAGCCATTTCAAAGCTCAGCCGTGCCATTCGTATTATTGTACTCATCTGGATCCTCTCCATTCTAACTGCCATACCCCAAGCTCTACAATTCGGCATAATTTCCATTGGTGGCATTGAGAAGTGTGTTGTCGTCCGTATTATACTACAGCATTCGTTCCAATTGTCGACCTACATCTTCTTCTTTGCTCCGATGTCCATCATATTTGTACTCTATCTGCTGATTGGCCTACATTTGTATCGTTCTAATGTGATTGGTGGCGGAGCGTTGGGCAACAACGGCAGCATGGAAGGTGAGGGAAATTTCCGTAACAAGGACACGATGATGAAACGATTTCGTCGTGATCTGTCACATGATTTGAGCGATCCTTCGACAACACCACGGGGACGCGGCCGTTTCGGTATGAAAAGTGTCCAAAGTGATACGATTTTGTATCGTTACTCGGGTGGCGCCCAAGTTAGTGCTGTCCGTGGACGCATGAATCAATTCGGAACGAAGAGGGTGTTGAAAATGTTGGGTAAGTATTTGAAAATATTTTTACGTGTGTGTGTTTTTTTTTGTTGAAACATTATGATTTATTGATTTATGTATTTTTGTAATCAATGGATTTTTTTTTTTCGTTTTATGTTGTTCAAATTGCGGGTATGATGTTGACAAGACGTTTTGAATTCATATATGAGTATTTTTAAAAATAAATGTTTTTCTATATTTGATGTGTTTTTCCATTAATTATAATCGAAATTAGGAAATTTTGGCAATTTTTTTTGGCTTTTATGTTTTGTTTTTACAGATGGAATTTTTATACCCTCCATAGTAAGATGAATGTAATTAAAGTTAGGTTTTCCATTTAAAATACTATGAAATAGTTGTCTGGGGCTGAATCAGTCGACCAGTGCCACGCTAAAAAATCAATTTTGAAAAACGCGTATTTTTACACTCTCCATCATACAGATTATGGAGGGTATATTATGTTCGCCATTCCGTTTAATGGAAATAATAATTTTATAATAATATATAATAACAAAGTATATATATTTTTGATCAGCGAAAAATTCTAAAACGATTTAGCCCTGTCTGTTGTAATCACGCTAGAGTCAAAACGAATTAAGATAGGAAGCTGAAATTTTGTACAGATCAGTCTTTTGTTCAAGTACTTGACTTGACTAGTTCGAAAATGGGCTACATCGGACCACGGTACTCCATATAACGGTACTCCCCGATATTCGGTATTTGATGATTTTAGCCACATTCCTTCTTATTACTTTACCATCTGAAAGAGACGATTTTAGTTCCTTCTTATTACTTTACCATCTGAAGAGAATTGTCTATATAAAGGGTGTTTTTTTAAGCTCGATAGAACTTGAAATTGTTAAAAATGACACAAAAAATAAATTGTAATCATTTTTTTTATTCGAAAGATCAATACGTGGCATTAATATCTGAAAATGATTTCGAGCATATGGGCACCGCGGCTTTTCTTGACGAAGTGCATTCTGGACGTCCAATTTTTGGCCACTTTTTCGAGCACTGCTGGCCGTATGTCACATATAACACGAACAATGCTGGCATCCAAGGCGTCAATTGTTGCTGGTTTATCAGCATAAACCAGTGACTTCACGTAGCCCAACAGGAAATAATCGAGAGGTGTCAAATCGCATCACCTTGGAGGCCAATTGACAGGCCCACTTCTCGAAATCAACTTATCGCCAAATTTTGATTTCAATAAGTTGATGGTTGCGTTCGCCGTATGGCACGTAGCGCCATCCTGCTGAAACCACATATCCTCCGAAGCAATGTCATCCATATTTGTAAACAAAAAATCATTGACCGTAACGCAAGCTCCGGCCTCATTTTTGAAGAAATAAGGTCCGATGATGCCACCAGCGTGAAAACCGCACCATATGGTGCATTTTTCTGGATGTAATGGAGTCTGTAGGGTCTCTTGTGGATTGGTCTCACGCGGCAATTTTGCTTATTAACAAATCCGTTAAGCCAAAAATGCGCCTTATCGCTGATCACAATTTTGCGATAAAACAACGGGTCATTTGCCAACTGCTCTAGAGCCCAATCGGCGAAAGAACGACGAGCGTTGTTCAAGCCTGAGTCTATTCATGATTATTTGTCAGAGTATACTGAAACAAATAAAAAAAAGTTTCAACAAAATTTAATTTTTAATTTTTGTGTTACTTTTTACAATTTAAAGTTCTATCTAGCTTAAAAAAACACCCTTTAGGTCTACGATATCGTATAGTTCCCATAGAACCTGATTTTCGCTATTTGGATGATTATAGCGAATTTTTTTACCGGCATTGTTTCAAATTTCATATTTAAAGTTCGCAGTGCGTACTTCAACCTATGACAAAAAATTCTTCGTATAGCCTCATATAACGATACCTCCCGATATTCGCCATTTTTCCGGAATTGTTTAAAAGTTCGCATTTGTTGCTCGTAATGGGTACTAAAACCTTTGACCTCTTCATATAGCCCACATATAACGACACCACATATAAGGTCGACGATATCATATATTTCCCATATAACGGTACCTGTCAATATTCGGCATTTTGGTGATTTTAACCACATTTTCAATGGAATTGTCTGAAAATACACACAAGGAGTTTCTTTTGAGTACTTTACCCTCTGGAAGAGAACTATTTATATAGGTTAATTATATCGTATAGCCCCCATGCAACTGTACCCACCCACCGATATTCGCTATTTAGATGATTTTAGTGACATTTTTATTTTATTTATGACAAAAATTGTATTGTAGATGCAGGACCACGTCTTCGCATACTCCCCATATAACGGGTTTCCGTTAAGCGGTATTTTTCCACATAATTTTAAAACTCAAACATTTTCCGAATATTTCAATACATACTCTTCCACCATTTGGCACAGTCCCTACTTCGCCGTATCTTCGAAGTTTAGAAAACTTGTTTTTGAACACGATTCAGTTTCTTAGAAAAAAAAAACAGTAAGGAATGGTCAAAAGTCGGGCGGGCCGACTATATGATACAACACCACTTTGCTAATTTAGTATAGCTCCATGGGAGCTAAATGGGAGAGTTCAATCATACACGCTATGATTATAATTATAATTTAAAGTTTAAAAGACTTAATATGCCGAAGCATTTGCATCTTTTAAATTCGGACTTGCATTGCCCATTTGATATATATGGGAGCTATATCCGAATCTGAACCGATCTTGACAAAATTTGGCAAAGATATTTCTGAGCTGTATTTTATATATTTCCCTGAATATCGTTGTTACGGAGTGCATATTACGGCTGTGGGTAACAAATATAACAAATCGGATGAACAATATATATGGGAGCTATAACTATATCTGAACCGATCTTCACCAAATTTGACATACTAGCTACTAAACTACTAGATTCGGTCGTATTTGCCAAATTTCATCCCATTTGGGCAAATATTAGACGTTTGGTGTACATTAGAAGGTAAATCGGACGATGTTATGTATGGGAGATATATCCAAATTCGAACCGATCTCGATAAAATGTATCTAAAGTATTTCAGAGCTGTATTTGATATATTTCCCCAAATATTGTTGTTACAGAATGTATATTACGGCTGCGGAGGACTAAAATATCAAATAGGATGGACAATATATATTGGAGCTATATCTATATCTGAACCGATTTCGATCATATTTGGCATACTTATTTTCAGGTTTAATTTGGTTGTATGTGCAAAATTCCATACTATTCGGGCTGATATTACACGTTTGGTGCACAACAAAAGGCAAATCGGACGAAGATATATATGGAAGCTATATCTAAATTTTTACCGATTATCTCCAATTTCAATAGGGTTCGTCCTTGGGGTAAACAAATGATTTGTGCAAAATTTCATCTGGATCGGGTAATAAATGCGAACTGTACTTTGTTCACAAAAATACATGGACAGACGGACGGACATGCATAACTCGACTCAGAATGAGATTCTATACAGATCATCAAAAGGAACTATGGGTCTATCTCGTTTCCTTTTGTCTGTTACAAACAAATGTACAAAGACATAATTCCTTGACCACCTTGTGGTGTACACTACTATGCATACTTAGTAGAGCTCCCGCAACAAAGAAGTATATATTGGGAATTTATGTGAATGATATGACTTCAATTATATTATATTAAAATCAACTTATTGGAGCAACAGATATACCAACAGTTTTTGGGGTATACCAGAGGTATTTCTGGGCTGTACCTGATATCTGGTACCAAATATAATTTTTGTGGGGTGCATATTACGAATGTCAGGGTCTTAAACACCAAATCGAATCAAACATATATATGAAACCTATAGCTATATCAAACCGATTTTCACCAAATTTGATGTACTTCCTTCTGGACTGAATTCGGTCGGATTTGCCAAAATTCAGGTCATTTGGCCTGATATTGGCCATTTTGTGCGAAAAGAAGCCGAAATCTCGTTGAAGATATATATGGGAGCTATATTTAAATTTCAACCGATTCTCACCAATTTCAATAGGCTTCGTCCTCGGGCCAAACAAATATTTTTTGAAAAATCTAAATCGGATAATAAATGCGACCTGCATTTTGTTCATAAAAGTACAGCATAAACCGACTCAGAAAGGGATTCTTGAAGATCCTAAAAAGTAACTATGGGTCCATCTATCCACACGAAGAATGTTCAGCGTGTATCAATTATTTGCATTAGCGCTTTTATAGCCGTATCTCTTGATATTCAGGATTTCGTAGATTCTAGCTCTATTTTTGAACAGAATTTGTTGTAATATCTCAATTTTATTTCTCATTCAACTTATCTAAATTAATTAATATCAATCCATATGTTGACGTAGGTCTCATTTATTGAAACTTCCGCTGTTGTGAAGGTTCTGACCACTTCCTCCGGCCGACCTACAATGTTCCTCAATTGTTGGCAATTTTAAAGGTTCTGATCACATTTTCCAAAAGAAAGGTCTACAATTTGGTTTCAAGGATCTGTAACCTATGGGAAAATATATAAAATATATAGTTATTTCTACCATATCCATAATTTTTAAGTGCTTTGATAACAATTTATTTGAATATTATTTAAGCTGTATAAAAAAGTTCGGCTCTGTCCACTGTGATTCAGAACGCGATCTTTCTAGCGAGAATCAAATGTTTGTCATCACCGAAATTTAATGTAAGGAAGCGATAAAATAAATAAATAAATTTTCTACCACAAGGATTTTTATCTATTGTGATAACAAATTTGAAACACTTCCGTGGAAAAATGTAAAAAATCATCTAAATAACGAATATCGGATGATATGATTTTATGGAAATCGTGGACCAATGTTCTGATGGCCGTGATAGAACCCATTATTACCCTAATTTGAAACAACTAAGATAAAATGATAAAAATATAGAGTTTCTGGAAGTTCTGTTATAAAGACGCTACAGGAAAGCATGGACTTATATATGCAATGTTCTCCCACCGGAGCTAGAACCCATTACGAACTACAAACACCGTATTTTATAC